CAATAAAGAATCACCATAAAGCAAGTCTGCAGTGAAGTAGGAGCAGCTGGAGCACAGTCACAGTGTCTACAGTTGAGCATGTTTCACCACACAATGGCCTGAGAGGCTGCGATGCAAAAAAGAAGTTCTTCCTCTACACGCAGCACCTTAAGACTCAGCAGAAGTTTGCTGCTGATGACATGGACAAAGAAAAGGTCTTCTGAAGGAAAGTTCTGTGGTTGGATGAAACAAACATTGAGCTATTTGGCCACAATGACTAGAAATATGTTTGAAGGAGAGAAGATAAGACCCTTCACTCCAACAACACCAAACCTTCTGTCAAGCATGGTGGTGGCAGTATTATGCTCTGGGGATGTTTTGGTGCCGGTTGAAATAGTGCTTTACACAAAGTAAATGGAATTCAGTTGGAATGACAATTCTGAAATGTATTGAAAATAAGGTTAAATATTTTTCAACATCCTGTTGAATTGTTTAAACATCCATCCATCCCCCAGTCCCTGGCTTAATGTTCATCCATTATCTATACACCGCTTAATCCTCACTAGGGTCGTGGGGGGCTGGAGCCTATCCCAGTTGACTTAAGGTGAAGGCAGGGAAGCCGGAGAACCCGGAGAGAACCCACGCTGCACAGGGAGAACATGCAAACTCCACACAGAAAGATCCCGGGTGTCCTCACCGGCAACCTTCTTGCTGCGAGGCAACGATGCTAACCACCGAGCCACCTTGCAACCCTTTGTTTAAGCATCACTGGTTAATTTATTTATAGCTAAATCAGTGGTTATCTGTACTTTAAATGTGTGCTAATACCTGAGAGGGACACTGGGACCAATAATAAATGTGAACAATAATACCAGCAGCTAGGTTCTGTACTGCCCAATGCAATGACAACTTTTTCAAAGATGATATTCAGTTATACAACCAAGAGTGACTATCAGGTCAGGACTTACTTTTATTTTTTATTTTTTTTGTTCTTTTTTTTTTTTTTTGTTGTAATTAGAGTATTTACTCCTGTAGTTGATTTTAAACGTATCTTGTTCTGTTTTGCAAGATTTTAATCTTTATTTTAAAGTTAAGTTTTGTAACACCTTGGAAACATGTTAGAAAAACACCAGAAGCACTCACATTAACATTTTATCACTTGATTTTTGTGGTGTGTAGAATTTTAAAACATGATGACAATGTGTTGTCCAAATTGTTCAGCTGAAGTAGGAAAAGTCCAATTGTAGTTCATAGCATCAATGGCGTCCGTTAACATCATAATCTTAGACCAACAGGAGATTTGTCCTCACTGATTTCACTGTTTTTAGCTCCACATCCCCCTGCGGCTGCTGTGTGGAGGTCTGCTGTTCATCTGTAATGCTGTCATGTGGACCTTCTTCTCAAAGGCTCTCCGACTCTGCTCCTCCTCAGCCAGGGCCACCGTCACTACCACCGCAGCCAACTTCATCTCCTCTGTAAGATCTCTGCATAACCTGTCATTGTTTTATTAGACATAACATTGTAGCCATGGACGGACACATTCAACATTCAGTGTTCTCTCATTGCCTTCACTTCATAATGAGTCTGCTTTCACTTTGTGTGTCCAGGGCGTGCTGGGGAGGCTCATCTTTGGAGAGTCCCATGCAGCTCTGTGGTGGGTGGGCATCTCTCTCACTCTGTGTGGACTTCTGGTGCTTCATGGTTCCACACCTCAGACTCTCCCACAGGAGGAGGACAAAAAGGACAAGTGATTTGGTCAAGTGACAGGTCGTTTGGCTTGTTAGAAGTGTGCAGCCTCTGCTCTTCAGTTGCAGCCACCTAAGGATAGTGTTCCTCAGACTGGACCATCTTAGGCACTTTAAAGTGGAAATATTGCACATAAAAGGAGGTGAATAAGTGTCTTAATGTGAAGTGCAATTAATGTTACACAGAGCAGACAAGTCTGTTACTGTGGCAGGTTTTCAGCCTCTAGCGTGGACCAGGTCATTAAGATCTGCAGGTTTAGGGGGCAGTTTAATAAGGTAAAATCTTCTTTCTTTTTTTCTGAGTTCCATTAACATTAAGAATTTCATCTGCTTCACATTTTCTGGATTCTCAACAGAACTTGCTCCAAAACAATGTTGAAACTTATACAAAGCAGAAACTTTTAATTTCAAAGGAGATGTATGAGTTCTTATTGTACTTGTGTTGGAATTGCCAACAGTCTGTCACAAAGTTGTGGTAGCTTTTTATTATTGTTTTTACAAAACGTATTGGAGGTGGAGTTTTAGTGACATATTCCAAACCACACAGTGCTCCACTGTGCTAATGGACGAGAGCAGAATTGACATTTTCAGTCCACACTATTCATACCAATCATGTTAGAGCATTCAAACTCCACATAGAGTTTATGTAGAAAAGACTTTAGTC